GAACAGTCAATAGACCAGTCAGATTGGCAACTTCAAATCCTAGAACGTTCTGACTTCCCTACCCTTAATTCTTGAGGTTCTGTCAGTACTCTAGAATCAGGGAAAAGTTTATTTTAATAGCTTCTTTTTGACCAGGAAAATCGCTGGCCTCCTGGGTGAGGCTTGCTAAGTAAGGTCTTTTTACCTGGGCACTAATATTCACCTGAGTATTAGGTGACTCTCAGCTTAGATCCTTGTCAGCTGAGGGAACAAACTTCAGCAGCTTTTCCAGATCTGGGGGCAGTTTCATCCTTCTAAGACTCAATATTCTTATACCTGAAGTGGAGATGAGCAGAATGTGGGGCAGAGAGCAAATGACACCTCGGTTACAGGCAAGGTGTTAGGTTAAATGAGATCGACGTAGTGCCCCGCATGTACGGAGCCCTCCATTTTCCTTTGTCTCAGAGAATGTCTTTAGAAATAGAAATAGTGTGTAGTCTGTTGTGAGTTACAGTCCATCAGCTTCTTACTTTCTACTGCCTTTTCTTACGGATTGCCCCCACCCCCGTTTTGACATGAAGGTGTACCACCTTAGCCCATTTTTTCCTTCCCCTTTTCACTTGTTGGCTTCCTTCTGATTTCCTGATTCTTAAAGCATCAAGACAAATGAAAACTCATCATGAATTTCCACTGAGGTTTTACTCAGTTAACCCCCCATTCCCGCCCTTGGAATCCAAGCACGCGTTCTCCTCACCTCTCTCCTCAAGGGAAGTCTTCCTCGTGAGAGTCACTTGTGCCACAGGCACAGGCCCTGGCTTGTGACGGTTATGCCATCATTAGGGAACTTGTTTAGATAAACTTTGTCATCTTCATTCATTGATCTATGTAGCCATTTACAAAAAAAAAAGAATGAGGCAGGTCTATATGTCACAATAGGAGCTGGCATGAAAGATCTCTCCCTACGTGAAAAGGAAAGGGAAGACATCGAGTAGGGTGTATAGTGCTAACATTTGTGGGAAAAACGTGTCCACTAAAAATAGACACACACACACACGTAATTGGATCTGCTTAGAATATTTATGGAAGATACACAAAAAACTGGTCACCGTCATTGTCTCTGTTGAGAGGAGCTGGGTGGCTGAGAGTTAAGAATGGGAAGGAGACTTTTTGCTGTAAACCCTCTAGCACCTTTTGAGTTTTGTACCATATGCGTATATTTCCTACTCAGAATTAATTAATCCGTTTGCTGTAGATAGATAGATAGATAGATAGATATGATAGAGACAGGTTATTTTCCATGTTAAAATTTTGAGAATTAAAAGGCAATTGAAACAGGAATAACTTTTGAATTTTGTGGTGCTTTGTCACTTAATGCTACCCTCTGCCACCTAAGAGCATCTCAGAATCATTAGTGAGAGTGTTGAGTGACTAGAAATGACTGGAAAATAATGTTGTCCCCCTGGCTCAGGAGGAGGGCCCCTCTAGTCATATCACTTCAAACTGGTTTTTCCAGAGTGAATTTTGGAGAACAGACACTTGGCTGTCCCCTTGCCGTCCTCCCTTCCAGACTCTGATCAGACTCGTAGTCCTCAGTGGCTGTTCTTGTTCTGTGGATCTTTACCTCCATTCCTTTAGTCACCCACGGACAGTTTTCTGCTTGACTCACTGACAGGACTAATTGGAATAATCTCTTTCCATATTTGGAAAAGCTCCACTCACCTACTAGTGGATATAGTTCTCCAGAGGGTGTCAACTCCCAGGCTATTAGAACTTCCCTTTAGTCTGTTAGAGGCAAGATCCTCTCTTACGTGTTTCCTTGTCGAATTTTGAAGAAGGACACAGAGAAGCTGCCTTCCTGCCCCAAAGGTGGGTCATGGGGCTTGATGCTCAGCACAAACCACGATGGCTTTTTTTGTATGTGAGCTGACCAATCCTGAGATTGTACTATCTGACATGTGGGGCAGGCCATCTTCACTGGTTCCTTGTTGGGATATTTTAGGAATTTGCAGATTGAAGACCTTTCCTTAAGCCAGGTTTCTCAACCTTGGCACTCATGATGTTTTGGGCTGGGAAGTTCATTATTTCGAGGGACTGTCCTGTGCATTGTAGGATGTTAGCAGCATCCCTGGCCTCTACCCACTAGATACCAGTAGTGTTCCCCACATTGTGACAATAAAACTGTCTCCAGACACTTCCAAATGTCCCCGGGGGGACAAAATCACCCCTGATTGAGAACTGATACCGTATGCCACGCTCTCTTTGTGAGTATACAGAAATATTGTACCTGCTCAACTCTTTTTTTTTTCTTATCTTTTTTAACCACTTCAGACATTTTCCTAAAATGTGCTTTAAATAACTTTTTTTAAAAGGTGAGGTGGGAGGAGGTACTCTCCTAGATACTGTTTCCTGTGCTTTTAATTAAGTCTCTGGAAACTTGTACGTAATAGCTTTGTAGGACAACAATAAAGTGGTGTTTAAATTTGGATGTATTAATACTGAGTTTCGTGGTCTCATTTTTACCAAGAAGAATGTCCCATTTTATTTGAAATGATAGGGTAATGAGTTTATCCCTTGAGTGAAAGGCATCTGATGTCTGTGGAGTGGACATGTCTAAGGGCAGGGAGGGGGATGTATTATAGACGTGTTGAAGGCTTTATCCACCAGGTGTCTTGGGCTCTCTCCAACTGGACTTATCCTGGGAACCACATGAACATATCACTCTTGGGGGTTGACCTACCTCCCATAGTCTTCCCTGGAGATACCTGAGGGCACACAGGTCTTCTGGGAGAATGTTCAAACTAGATTCCTAAGTTCTAATGGATGGAGCCCTAAAAATATGTCTCCAATGTGATCCCTCTCTCAAGTCATCACTTCTGTCTCAGGATTGAGTTATTTTAATCTGATCATGCTCTTCTTAAGCCCTCCAATGGTCCCCAGGTGCCCTTAGAATGAAACCCCAGTGCCTGCCTCTGGCTGACAAAGCCCTACCCTCTCTTGCCTCTGCCGTCTTCTCCCACCACTCTCTCTGTCACTCACTGGGCTCCAGCCATGTTGCCCTTCTTGGGGACCGTGAACTGGCCGTGTTGGTTCCCACCTCAGGGCCTTTGCACTTTCAGTTCTCTCTGCCTGGAATGTTCTTTCCCATATCTTCTTGGGGCAGGGCTGACTCTTTTTCTTCCTTCAGGTTGCACCTTAAATGTCACCCCTCTGAGAGGTCTTTCCTCATCACAGCTCCAGACCCCACTGCTGCGCACTCTACCCATTATCCTGCTTTCTGTTGTCTGTAGCACTTCCAACTATTTGAAGTGATCGCCTTCATAGTTTCCATGCTTATTATTTGTCTCCCTGCGCTAGACTATAAGTTCCGTGAGAGTGTCTAGTCTTCTTCACCACTGGTATAGTGCCTGTGTAGGCAGTCCACAAGTACTGGATTAGTAAGTGAATTACAGCTGAAGCTCTCTACGTACTAACACAAGAGGCTGTGGGCCGGGTGTAGTTCTGTCACTCTCCATTTGAAGAACTATCTGTGTGGCAGTGTGGACCAGAAGACCTGAGGATGTGCTAGCAGTTCTTACCTTGTTTTCAGGGTGTGCTGGATGGTGTAGGCTCAGTGAGGAGAGGCTTGTCGATACTTGGTAAGGAGGGAAAGTGGGTCATGCGACACTCCTGTAGTAGCATGCTCCTGCCTTCCTGCCTTCCTCCCTCCCTCCCTTTTTCTTTCCTTCCCTTCTTCCCTCCCTCCCTTCTTTCCCATATAACATAAAACTTACCATTTTAACTATTTTAAAGTGTACAATTCAGAGACATTTGGTATAGTAACAATATTGTGCAAATACCACCACTATCTAGTTCCAGAACATTTTCATCACCCCAAAAGGAAACCCCATACTCATTAAGTAATCACTCCCCATTCCCCCTCCTCCTGGCCCTTGGCAACCACTAATTTACTTTCTGTCTCTATGGATTTGTTTATCCTGGACATTTCATATAAATAAAATCATACAGTATATACCCTGGCTTATTTCACTTAGCATAATGTTTTCAAGATTTATCCGTGTTGTATCATGTATCAGGACCTCATCTGTTCTTATGGCTGCATAATATTCCATTGTATGGATATACCACACTTTGTTTATCCACTCATCTGCTGGTGGACATTTGCGCTGTTCCACCTTTTGGCTGTTGTGAATAGTGCTGCTTTTCACATTCATGCACATGTTTTTGTTTGACCACCTCTTTTCAGTTATTTTGAGTATATTCCCAAGAGTAGAATTGCTGGGCCATATGGTGATTTTATATACTGAACTACTGCCAAACTTTTTCACAGTGCTGCACCATTTTACATTTCCACCAGCAAAACATGAGCTTCCAATTTTTCTACAAGCTCACCAATACTTATTTTCTCTGCGTGTAGTTTTAAAAAATATATTAATATTATGTAGCCATCCTAGTGGATGTGAAGTGGTATCATTGTGGCTTTGATTTGGATTTCCCTAATGACTAATGATGTTAAGCATCTTTTCATGTGTTTTTTGGCCATTTTATATCTTTTTTGGAGTATGCCTTTATTTTGATGCTTAGTTTGTTTGCATTGTAACTGTATGTGAACACTTTTCTCTTTCTTTCCTGACCATAAGCTGCCTTGTTCATAAAATGGGGCTAATACCTTTCTCAGGAGATTTTTGGAAATTAAAGCATTGCTCAAATCTTTGTTAACATAATTTTGAAATTTTCTCTTTTTTCCTTGCTGCCATCCCACTTTATTTTAAAGTACAGCATGAAAACCTTAGGATTATTTTCCAAACTGGCAAATTTAATTCCGTTTTAATTTTCTGAATTTTGACATCTCTTATTCTAACCCATCATTGTATCCCATGAATTTTTAGGTTTTAAACATATTTTAAAGTCAGTTTGTTTCTTAGCTAGTATAGTATCTACACAAGTATTTGACTTTTTGCTATTTGAGAGTAGCTGGGTGACAGTTGAAGTAGTTTTCATGACAACATTGTTTTCGTTTTCAGAAAAAATTGCCTTTGACAACACTGGCTCAGTGTTTGATGGAAGGGTCAGCTATCCTGGGAGATGACACACTTCTTGGGTAAGCTGATACCATGCATGGGTTTGTGCCAAATCTAGGTAAGTCCCCGCCCATGAAAAGGGGACTGGGGCTCCTCAGGGGGCCACTGAGGCCGCTTGCAGTCTGGCTGGGGGCTGGGTGGAGAAGAAGAGGAGGCTGCCAGTGAGAAATCAGAACCCCAGGCCTGAAGTCCTACTGTCTTTGCAGCGAGGCAACTCCCAAGTGGAGAAATTAACATAAAACTGTTGAAGGACAATTGAAATCCCTAGGGCTCCAGCAGAAGCAAATATAAAACCTCTCAATGTCAGATGTCAGAACTTATAGGCTTCTCAGAAGAACAGCCCTTGCTGATTTTGAGCTCACAAGAAAAACAAACTAAAAATAGAATCATCATGGGAGAGACTCAGCAGGCACAATCAGTAGGAGAATCAGTACCCGAAGAACTAAAAATAATAGGACAATATGAAAGAAACTGTAAAGTAATTATGTTTAAGATGGAATTTAAAAATTTAATGAAGTCAAAAAAGCCTTGACAAAAGAATCAAACAATATGAAAAAAAAAATAGGCAGAATCAAAGAAAAACCAGATAGAGCTTTTTAAAATTCAAATTATACTTATGATAATTTAAAAACTTAATTGAGATAAACTGGAAATTGCACACAAATAGAGAACTGGTGAACTTGAAAACACATCTGGAGTCGCCACCTAGAATGAACAGAAAGAAGTACAAGAGAGAAGGATGTAGCACTGTTAGATGGAGAGTCGTGGGTGATAGAATGGAGAGGTGCAATGTTAGGTCTAGTAGAAGTTCGCGAAGAAGAACAGAGAGAGAAGAGCAAGTTATGGTTGAATTTTTCTTCTCTAGATTTGAAGAAAAACGTAAGTCTTTAGATTTAAGCAGCACAAAAAATCCTGACTGAGATCAACAAAAAGAAATCCATCCCTGGGCACATTGCAGTAAAAACTACAGATTATTAACGAAAAAGAGAGAAATTTAAAGTCAACCAGAGAAAAAGATAATTACATACGAAGAGCAATTAGACTGAAAACAGACTATTCATTAGCTGAAATAAATGTCAGGAAATAATGGAGGAATATCTTCAAGTATTGAGAAAAAATATAGGAAACCTAGATTTTACAATGAACTAAATCATTATTCAGGAATAAGGGGAAAATAAATATATTTTTGGGCAAAGATTTAGAGAAGTTACTGCTCGTGTGTTCTCACTGAACACTGAAGAACTCACTGAACTCAAGAACACTTTCTCACTGAAAGAACTAGTTAAGCTTATGCGAAATAGATTATGTCCAGAAGAAGGGAATGCAATGCAAGTAGCAAGACAGCATAAAATTTGGTAAATGTGGTGTAGGGGGTGAAAAAAATTATTTTTCCCTCCACCTTTCTTAGATTCCTTAATGGGGCACTGCAAATTAAAATGACAAAAGACAGATTAACAGGAGAAAAGCATGCACATTGTATTAACATGTGCATTGCCTATACATGGGAGAACTCAGTGATGAGTAACTCCAAGGGGTAGCTAAAACTTGGGCTTCTATAACATTTTTAACAAAAGAACAGTAATTTTTAGAGAAGTGACAAGACAAAGGAAAAGAAATTTGATTTTCTAGGGTGACAAATTGTGGGAAGGCAAATATATGAGAGCACTAATGGAAGATAAAGACTAATTAGTAAGGTTTGTAATGTAGGTTTCTCTGGTGCCTTTTCTGGGCTGATAAGGGTCTAGAGTCGTCTCTGGTAATTAACTCCTATCCTTCCTGGTAAAGAAGGGACGGGGGACACCTTTACAAATTTATATCCTTCTTTTAGGAAAATAGGGGGCAGGGCAGAGAGCTCTTTTTGTATCTTCTTCTCGGTTGCCTTCAGCTCAAAATAATAATCCTTATGCCAAAGTGGTATATTTTGGGGTGGCAAATTCTGCTACCCTTCAGTGTAAAGAAATATAAATAAACATTGAATTAAAAAATAACAATGTGACAGTGATTAATTTGGGGGGCGTTAAAGCAAAGTGAAACTAAAATACTAGAAAATAGTAACATGAAGCATTGGAAAAAAAATTGGTATTTCAAGCTCTTATCTTGTTTGAAAGGAGGATAAAGATACTACATTTAAATTTAAAATGAAGTGTGCATGTTGGAAAAGTATGAATAACCACAGAAAGGATAGAAATAGAATTTATTACTTCAAAACCAGTAAAAGGATGGAAAGGGAAGTAAATAAAATAGAAAAACCCATAGAAGGGACTAAAAGAGAAAACAGGAAAGAAAAGCATAGTAAACAGAAAACAAGACAAAAAATAAAAGGTAATAGCAATTGATGCACATCTATCTGTAATTGTAAGAGATGTAAGTGGAATAAATTCAACCATTTATAATATAGAGAATCTCAGGTGGATAAAGGTGAAATCCCGTTGTGTGCTCTTTCTGAGAGACACGCCTAAAACGTGATGACACAGCAAGGTTGAAATTAAAGGGATGGAGGACACCCAGGTAAAGATGACAGACTGCACACACATGTCTAATTTTTCCCCTTCCCAAATCCACTACAATAAAGAGATTTTCTTCTCTTAGAAGACGTAAACCCATAAAGACAGGAAACACAGGAGAGAAGACAAGAGCAGCAACATTTTTTGTACTGTAAAGCATATGATTGACTGGGAACTGACTTAGCAAGTCCCAGAGAGCTGACTCTCCAGCTAGAAGGGGGATATGCAGAGAGCCCACACATTTACACCATGAAATGCTGACAAGGCTCAGGAATTGGCAGCACCAGGGATGTCTGGAATAGTGGGTCTTTGGGGGTGGGGTGGTGATTAACGTGAAGAGTATAGGTTGAAAGCTAGTCAGGTGCCATTTAGATCACTCAAACCCAGCCGTTACCCACACCTCTGGGAGACTCTTATCCCTTGCCTCCAAGCATAGTAGAAGTCTGGACCTTTATTCTCTGGAGGGGGTAAAACAGAGCATCCGTAGACTGGGGACACTGGGCACAGTGGAATGTAAATGTCCTGCTTATTACAGGGAATTAAATGATCTCATGCATACCAATGCTGAGACTCTTCAGCTCCCCCTCCCCACTCATGTGGCTCCCAGGCCTTTACCCTCTAGGCAAGCAAATTAGAAGAGCCTTCTTTGGGGAATCTGACCAGCCCAACAGGAATGAACTAAAGATACCAGGACACTGGAGCGGCAGTGCTCCAGTGAGTGGCCCAGCTAGATCATCCTGCAGACCAGCTCATAGCTAACGAGCTTCACTCACATACTCTGAGCTTTATAGTCTTCACCCTTGAAGACGGACAGGCACCAAAGGTCACCAGACATTGGAGGAAAGTCTCTAACCTGAAACCTAGATGCCAAAACAATCGGGAAGAAATAGGTAGTGCGTGGGGGAGGGGAAGATTTCAGGAAAACTTTCACTTATATTTTCAAGTGGTAAGAGAAAATAATGCATCCATTAAACAAAAGAATAAGATACTAATTAAAAAATATTTATAGGAAAGAAATATTCAGAAATCAAAAGTGAGCTCATACAAAAGAAGCATAGGACATTCTCAGTAGAAGGTTTGGAAGATAAAGTTGAAGAAATCACCCAGGAAAGAGAGCAAAAAGACAATGACATAGAAAATAGAAAAGTTAGAAAAGCAGAGGACCAATCCAGGAAGTCTTAGGCCTAAATAACAGGAATTCTGAGAAAAGGAGAGTAAGAAATCATAATCCTAATCATAATAAAAAAAAATCCAAAATAGTTTTCCAGAACTGAAGGACATGAGTTTCTATATTGAAAGGGCCCATTGAGCTCCTAATACAATAGAAAAAATTAAACCTATGCTGGAGGTCACCACCAGTGAGTACTAGTGATGAAAGATTCTACAACCTTCTAGAGGAAAAAATTGTCACATACAAAGGGTCAGAAATCTGAATGCTTCCAGACTTGCCAAAAGCGATAATGGAAGCTAGAAGACTCTTGAACAATGCCTTCAAAATTCTGAAGGAATGTGAAGCATAGGATTCAATATCCTGCCTCACTATCAATCAACGTGAAGGAAGAGGAGAATGTCGTGACATTCAAGGTCTCAAAAATTGACTCCCCTCACACTCTTTCTCGGAAAGCTAAAGCCTGGAGTGCTCCATTTTGGAGGAGTGACCAAGAAAGAAAGGAATAGGAATATAGAAAAAAGGATATAGGAAACAGGATGTCCAACTCAGGACAGAGAGAGAGAGAATCCCAGGAAATGGTGAAGGAAGATTGCAGGAGGACAGCTGTGCCGAGAGATGGAAGGAAAACTCCATCTAGATTAACAGAGGTCTGGGAGAGGCTAATTCAAGAAGATGAAGTTCGTTCACAACAAGTGTGGTGCAATATCTTAAGAGACAAATTAGAAAAGTGGCAGAGGATTTTGGGTTCAGTCAGGTACGTGGAAAACTAAACAAGCAAACCAAAACAAGGCAGTTATGAACTCCAGAGAGAACAACTAAGTGTGCAGGGAAGACCAGTTATCATAATACACTACCCAGCTTAACTCCGAACAGCATATGGAGTCAAAAAGTAGTGTCAACACTAAACATTTACTGATACAAATACGTGGAGGAAGGGGAAATGTAAATATAGCTAAATTCTCATTTTCTGTACTTGAGAGTCAGTAGCAAATGCTAAAAATTTTAAAAAGTAGGGAGTAGCAGTAGAAATATGGAGTTAGTACGAGAAGAATCAGATAAAAGACATCATTAAAAAGGTACAAAGATAAACCCACAGCCTGGGAGTTGGCATTTGCAGCACACATGAAGAAGAATTGGAGTCTGTTCTACATCCACACATATCTATAAGTAAATAAAGAACTCCTACAAATAAATTCAAATAAATAGATCCCGATACAGAAATAGGCAAAGACTATGAATAGACACTTCATGGAAGAGGGATCCTGAATGGCCCAAAACATGAAAAGATACTCAGTCTTACCAGTAGTCAAGGAATGCAAATTAAAACCAGAATCAGATAATATTTTGAATCCACCAGTTCAGCAGAAATTAAATGCCTTACCAGTAACATGAGTTGGCAAGAGTGTAGAGCAATGGGAACTTTCGTTTGAGAGTCAAGTCAGTACTGTCACTTTGGAGATGAATTTGGCAATATCTAGTAAGGTTAAGGGTATGCATATCTTCTTTCCTTTGCACAGAAGAATTCTCACGCATGCAGAAAGAGACTCACAGCATATGCACTGCAGCACTGCATGTAATAGCTAAAAATTGTTAGTTATGGGAAGGCTTAATAAATGATGGTATATTCATAGAATGGAATTCTGTACCGCAAAGTGATCTAATTCTGCATGTGTCAAGATGGATAAGCCCCAGAGATAATGATGAATTTAAAAAGCAAATAATAGAAGTTCAGTGTGAAACCATTGATGTAAACTTTTTTAACTGGGTGAAGGAGCAGTATTATATATTGTGCATGAACACATACATATGTGGTAAAAGGGTAAAAATATGGACAAGAAAAGTACATACTAACTTTAGAATAACAATTACCTCTTCTCATACTTTTATTGATTTGTAAACACTTTTTACGGGAGTTTCAGTTAACAGTACCATGCAAGGGAGAACTGCTTGTGTACCATTCAGGGAAAATTAACGTCTTTGAAATACTATAATCTCTTGTCTAGGAATATGACGTAACTTTCTACTCCTTCAGGTCTTTTATTTGCTCATTGTTAGTCAACTTTTGGAATGATTTTTCCACTTCGATTTTCCAACGGATAGTTGTCTACTCATTCTGTATTAAATGTTTTCATAGCTTAAGAGAAAGAGTTTTCTTTCTATTAGAGCCTATTATAAAGTTGAGTTTTGGTATGTGTTTGAAGATGTTAGTTTGTTCATGCATCGATTTTAGCTGGTTTCTCCAGTGCTCTCAGGGGAGATAGAAGCACTGGCTCTTTTTGGGCCTGTGGATTGAGCATGCTTGAGTCTGTCTGTTCTCTCCCCATCTCTGTCATGTTTCCCTACGTGTCCCTTTTTACCACAAGCACACAGTAGGTACTCAGCATGATTTAAAAAACTGACAATTTCAGAAATGAAAGCGGATGGAGCAAGTTGGTCAGTGGGACACCATGGAAATCCACCAATTTATTAACACTGTCTCATGAAAGTTCACTCAGCCAGAGGTGATGACAGCATGACACAGGTGACATCTTGCTTTCTAGGGTATTCAGTGTGTTTTCTTCCCCTTCTGTTGCAGGAAGATGCTCAAACTCTGTGGAGAGACAGAGGACAAGCTGGCTCAGGAGCTGATTCATTTTGAATTGCAAGTGGAGAGAGATGTGATTGAGCCCCTGTTTTTACTGGCTGAGGTAAGAAGCGGGAATGAGGCTAGGCCTACTTGAGCAGGGAAGGACAGCACCATGGGCCCTTTAGTCCGTCTACTTCCAGCCTCATTATTGTTTCTATACCTCACCCTGCTCTGTGACACTGTTTTTCATCGGGGATTATTACTACCCAACCGCATGGTCAAGATTCCCCAATATGGCAGCCTTTTCAGCTGTTCACCACCCCATTCTCCCACCACACTCTTCTCTCTTGAAATTCCAGTGGGTAAAGGTGCAAAGCTGGCAGCATTACCTCCTTCCTCACCAGAGTCTCGACAGCTATTGCCACCCCTGCCCTCCACTCATCTCGTCTTCAGTGAAATGAACAGCCGCCTCCCCCCCCCATGCAGGACTGGGGACCCGTGTATAAGAGACTCTGTAAGGCCTCTTGCAGTTTATGTAAGTCCATTCTCTTTGGGCTATAAAGGACACTAAATAAAACTATTTCCTTAAAAAGAAAGCTTGGTGTCTGTGCGACAATTTTGCTAGCTTCAACGAAGTGAAATGTTATCAAGTAAGAAGAGAACTGGTTGGGGGACTTTATTTGCCCTGAACCTCCTTCTCATTGCCTTCAGTTGGTCATAAAACCCAGCCGGTGCTGCTAAAGATGGCAGATATGGGGGGGCGTGGAAAAAACACCTAGTCAACACTGTCCCGTAGAACTGCCTGCAATGATGGAATCTTCGACATCTGCACAGTTTGGTAACCACTAGCCACCTGTGTCTGCTGAGCTCTTGAAATGTGGTTAGTGTGACTGAGGAGCTAAATTTTTAATTTTGTTTAATTTTTGTTCATTTGAATTTAAAATGACATAGCCACATGAGGCTACCGTATGGGATGGCATTTCCCTAGGCCATGCTTGATTTCCTTTCCTTTCTGAAACTTCACATCCCCTGGTGCTATTTCTGGGACAGATGTCTGGGTAAATAATTACCTAAGTGCCTAAGAGTATTTAAGGTGAAGATCTTAGATATGGTGCTTTGATATAGACTGGCTCTAGACTTCTCAGATGCCATCCTCTTACAGGTCATCCTCCAGCCTAGAACATTCATGGGAGGCCCTCTGCTTTTCATAAATGTGGTCTGGGGTCCGAGCCAAAGCCAGAAGCAAACCCAAGGGGCACGTCTGAGCTGGGTGTGTGACTTGCTTGTACGAACAAGATGCCCTGGTTCTGTGGTGACACCGGGTGCCCAGGGACTATTATCCTTCTCCTTCCTATTGGAAGCTGTTAGACTCAGTACATTACTCACCCTGCTTACAAGAGTGAATAGAAAGCACTTCATGGAACATTGGATCTTCTTCACATTTTTTCCTTATATAAAAGCCGCAGCCTGAGATGATTTTGGTTTACTTTACGGCCAATTTTCCTTTTAAATTCTCACATCCTGCCCCACTTTTGCTGGGCCTGGAACCAAAATCCTACACTGGAATGTTCAGTTAAGTCATTTTTAGAAATAAAAATATAAAAAGAGCGTCCACATACAACCACTATGGAAGAACTTTTCATAGCTGAGAAAAGCCGTGGCGATGGTTATTCATTATTTACTTTGGAAAAAATCTTACTTTATTTCTATAAAAATAGATCCTAATTACATTCCCCTTAGCCTCAGGTCTCCTGAGACCAGTGGTCTTCATCCTTCTGCTGTCCATTTTGAATTAGGTCTGTGTGTCGGATCTGACTGCTTTTCTCCCCACTTGTGGCCCTTATGCAGTAGAGAGAGAGGTGACTGAGCCCCTGTTTTTGCTGGTAGGGGTAATAGCAGGGATGAGAATAGGCCTGAGTGAGCAGTGGGGCACAGAACCTCTGAGATGCTCTGGGTTGATGGTGGGCCTGGCACATGGCCAGTGAAGAAAGAGCAGAGTTTAGCTCGGGAAAGGGAATCAAGAATTTCATCTGAAAGTACGGATTGGGAGACCTCTAGCAAACTTCTTGGGTGGCTGTCAATAGTTCTTTCAGAATTTAGCTCAAGCTTCAATTCGACTGTGCCTTTTGTCTCCTGTAACCACAGGTGGAAATCCCAAATATTCAAAAACAGAGGAAACACTTAGCTAAGTTGGTGCTGGACATGGATTCTTCACGAACGAGGTATGTAGGGTTTCTTTGCTCTCATTTTTGCTTCTTTGAAGGAATGGTGATAATATCTGGGGGGAGAGGTTTGTGTGTGGGTGTGTGTGAGTGTTTTCATTCACCTAGTGTTTCTTAACACCTGCTGTGTGCCAGGCACTGGGGGTGAGAGTAGAGAGCCGGAGATAGGGCGTCCTGTTCTCGAGGAGGCTGCGGTCTGGTTTGGGAGATAGATATGAGGCAAGTGAACAGACACACAAGACGGTTTTAGGCGGCCGTAAATCATATAAAGAAAATAGCACAGGGTAATTCTGACAGGGAGTGATGAGGAAGGGGGGGGCAACAGCATTAGGCACAGAGAAGGCTTTTTTGCGATGACGCTTCATCTGAGACATAAACGATGAGAAGGAGGCAGCCGTGCAAAGATCTGGTACAGAACTGTCCACAGCGGTGGGAACAGCAAATGCAAAGGCCCTGTGGTGGGAATAAGGTTGATGGATCCAAGGTACAGAAGGAAAGCCAGTGAGTCTGAGGTGGAAGGAACTAAGGGGGGAGTAGTAGAGCCGAGACCAAAAAGGCAGGATGGATGATATGTCGTGTCTGTCATGAGGGGAGAATTTCGGATTCTAGGGACCTGTTCACCTTCTCCTTAAGCCAGTGGTATAGATATCTCCTTTCTGTAGCCATTCTCTAAACCTGAGACCATTGTGAGAGAAGTAGAGTTCCCACAGTGCTGCTCTTCTCCTGCACCCATCTCCCAGATCCACACAGCAGAGTGTGCCAGAGGCCCTGGGGTGGCCTTAACTGTGACTGTCAAATGTCATGATTGTGCGTATATGCCCTTTTATTTTTTACAATAACGTGTGTGTTTGTGTAAGTCTGCAAGTTCAAAGAATGCAGGCTCATGAATATTAATATGGAAGGAACATTTTAGTTCCGCTTTAGGTCTGTTGTAGGTCAATGTTAACAATCTCTGCATCTTGTTTTAATTTTCTTCAGAAAAAGAAACAAACAAAACAGAATATCCTTGAGAGATGTAGGCTAAAGAGTCCTGAGCCAGGAATCAGAGAGGAAGTACCAAGATCCACAGCACCTATTTTCTAGACCTGTGACCTTGGTCATCCTCCCAGAATATTAATTTCTTCACCTGTACACAGGTAGTAACAACATTTCTGAGTTGACCCAAGGATGCTGTTTTGAGTGTCACATGACATCATGTTTGTCACAGCACTATAAAAGGAAGCTGCTACTATAACTAGTTGGGACTCTAGAATTCTGCATCTGGACCAATAAAAAGTATAGTACAGTTCCCCAAGACCAGAAATAAAACAGGTTAGATCAGCAGAGAAACAAAAGTTTCTTTAGTTAACTTCATGTTTCCCAAACTTCAGTCCACCTTAATGATTTTTGCCATCTGTGCCTACACACCTTATAAAAAGTTACTCACTTTTTCAAAATGCATCTATTTAAAAAAGAAATTTTATTGCACTACCGTAAATTGAAAATCAATGCCTTTGCTACAGATATCAGGTAAACATAAAAGTGAACAGGATGAAAGCAAAGCCAGTGTTATTAACTTTTAGATCCTGTTGCCTGTAGAAGGCTGGGATCCCGACTCCTGTCTCCTTTTGTTATGGAGGAAGAGGAGGAGGAGTAGTTGGACAGTTGTTATTCTGACCCAGATCTGAGGCTCTCTCCTTAGTGTGCGTGGAGGGGTGGAGAGCAGATTGCATGTGGAGCACTGGTTTGGTGTTACTGCTACATCCTTGTACCACGTAAAATTGCCTCCCACAACACCAGTGTTCAAGTCCCATATTTTGGGAGTCACATAAGATGATTGGACAAATGCTAATTATCTCACTTTTAGGACGACGGTGGACACCATGCTCCTGGGTTTGCAGAGTGATTTCCCTCTCTGAGGACCTGAGTTCTTAACTCTGAGGTCTTTTCTCTGCTTCTGTAAGGAAAGCCTGAATTGCCAGCACAGAGCTTCTGCTCTGAGGGCCAAATATTTGCTAGCATCAGAGCTTGTCATTGCCCTCTGCACTTACATGTTTTTGTTTAGTCTTCTTCTGAGAAGGAGAGTTACTCCTGGCTGACAGCCATGGTCAGTCTAGTCTTGTTTTAAGTTTTGAATGGTGACACCAAGTGGTGTGTAGATTCTGAAACTTTAGAGAAGTGTCATGAGGGACCTCTCATCCATGATTTAACAAACTTTTTCAGATTTTCAGCTCATCATCCCTTGTATATTGGGATTTGGTAAGGAAATATCTATCTCCCCATCCAAATTTTTATGCTTATAAACTTCTTCTTAGACTCTTTACAACCTTTGTTGTTTCAGACAAAAAAAAAAAAAAATCCTTTTAGATGATCCTCATATAAACCTGACTCATCTCCTTTATCATATTGGTGGTCTGTCACAGCCCACTCTATTAGTTGTGAGTCTGGGGGTTGAGGGTTGCTTTGGAGGTGTTATTGGCAGCATAGCTCCTCAAGAACATGCTGACTTCCCTCCAGGTCTCTGCTTTAGTAACCATGGAGATCTAGCCCGAGGCCACAGTTACGAATTCCTCATCAGTTTAGGTTATGGGCTTCAGGATGAGAGGGGCTCTCTTAGCGAAGGTGTCCTCTTTCTTCCCACTTTAATCTCAGACTAGCCATTTCTAGCCTGGGTTTATCTGTCTTGTAGGACTTTGCTGAAAGCCACAAGAAGAAGCCAGCCCACCCCAACTCCCTGCCTTTTCCCCTAACCCTCACTCTTAGTCAACATGAGGACTGCATCCCAAGATCCAGCAGTGAGAGTAAGACCAAATGCTATGCTACTGAATGGCAAGGATCAAGCTACTTTTCTGGAATAGCTGGGTTCTCACTGCCCCCACCTCCACCCCACACTACTTCTCCAGTTTGCACGTGTTGGGTTCTATCCTCCGTCTGATTACCAAAGCTTTCTTTAGTCCTGTCTTTGATGAACTATGCTATCCAGACTAAACAGTGTTTTCTGGGTGGAGAGATCCTCTGCCTTTTAGGAAAGGCAGGATCTTTTTATGTATTATCAGCACATCTCTATCAATAGTTCCGTGACTGGATCTTTGAATTCTTCCAACTCTGGTGGATACTGTCAAATCTAACGAATCTATCCAGGGTTTAATTAGGTCTAACTCCAATGTGTACATAGGTCACTATTCAAGTAAATCTGGCTTGTCTGCTTCAAAAGCCAATTATATAAACCTTAATATCCTCAGAGAAGACTAAAGCTTAGAAGATGAATAAAAGATTACAGATGAGAATAATGGAGGTGAACTTAAGGAAACTTCATGCTGAATTAAAGATTGTGAATTGAATGTGAATGATAAACAAACATCTTTTCTGCGGCAGGATTGGTTTGGCAGTGGTTAAAGAAGGAATTCCATACCTTCCCAAAGTCTGCCTAACTTTTTTCTGGGCGTGTATCTCAAAGTCAACCCTTCTGGGTCCAGGATACTTGATGTTTCTGCTGAATAATAGCTGCTTCTGGGTCCTACTGCTGTGGTCTGAATTGTGCCCCACACCCCAAATTCACATGTTGAAGCCCTAACTCTCCCCCTATGTGACTATATTTGGAGCTAGGGCCTTTAGGAAGTAATTAAGGTTAAATCAGGTCATAAGGGTAGGGCCCTAATTTAATAGGATTGGTGGCCTTATAAGAAGAGAAAGAGAGAGAGACCCCAAATACACTCAGAGGAAAGGCCATGTGAGGACAGAACGAGATGCTGACCGTCTGAAAGCCGGGAGGAGAGAACTCACCAGAACCCAAACCCTGCTGGAACCTTGATCTTAGACTTTCCAGCCTCCAGAATGGTGAGAAAATAAATTTCTGTTGTTTAAGCCACCCAGTCTATGGTATTTTGTTATGGCAGCCTGAGCAGACTAAGACCTACCTTCTTTGGAAGCAAGTGAACTAGTATAAGTAAAACAGGAGAGTTTGGGGGAAGGATACTGGGAAGCTCATGGAATTAAGGAAGAAGTGGATAACTAGAAGTGGAATTCTGGAGCTGTGGCAGTTCTGAGTGCCTCTGGGACTAGCAGCAGAGTCTCATTGCCATTAGGAGCTGTTCCTCATCTCCCACCTCTGCTTCTCTCATCTATAGGCATCTTTTTCTAGATCCGTTGTCCTCATGGTTACTGGATGTCCTTTGGGCTCATGTCTCCTGGGTATGAGCCCTCTTCCTTTTGTTCCAATTCTGAAAGTATGAAGGAGGGGCTCCACTTGCCTGGACTTTGCTTATGTGCCCACTTCCTTGGCCTGTCTGTTGGCCAAGGTGATGAAGGCTGGGCACGGACTTGGGTTGCATCATGGACCCTCACCTGGACCAGTCACTGCGAGGGCCGTGCAAAACTGGCTTTTGGCCCGTGCTTTAGAGAAGGAGTAGGGCAGGACCCCAAACAGTGGAGGATGCTGATGACAGAGGGAAGGAGAAGACTGGGCAGATGAAATAATAAATGTCCCACTAAAGAAACTTGCCTGTTTGCCTTCCAGAAATTCTTCTGGACTTCCCACTGCCCTGATCTGATCTTGCATTTGCCTTCTTGATCCTTCTCCTGGGCCCTGAAATTGCATACTCTTTATTTTTGGCCCTTTTCTCCCCTCCAGCGTTCATTAAAGCTGGTATTCTGTCTTCATCTCCCCCAGGTCATAGAGTGATAGCATCTTTCCCAGAGAATGATGGTGGCATGTCAGCCACTTTAGTGGGAAGAAGTGAACTTTCTGCTCTTCAGATTTCAAAGCTCAAACTCTTCTTGGACAAGAATCCCTGTTTCTTCTCTTTACAGAGCAGGACAGTTCTTGAGTTTCCTTGTAGAACAGCTAGCTGAGAAGACCACCATAGCTCAAAATTCATGATTAATGTCTCTTTTTTCAACAGATTACTATCAATACAAATTTTTCCACATTTTCCTTGCTATTTTATTTGATTTCCACAATCTTATTCTGTATCTCATCACTATTTTATAATATCAAAATAGATTACTTATATATTGCAAATAAAATTCCCTATAAAGGGAAGGGGGAGGTGTATGTTTTTAAACTACCAGGGTATTGACTAAGGGACAGAATTTGGGGAAAAAATAGGATTAGGGAAGAAAATAAAGAGGTCACTTGGGAAAATGTCTTCATTTTAATATATATATATTAAAGGCATATTTTATGTATATATTTTATATATATATAAAGTATAAATTGGGTTTTTAAAAACAATCTAATCTAGATCTTCAAAGCCATAACAATCAGCTTAGTGTTTGCAGTCACTTTATTTATTTAATTTTTGCCATTACATGTTGGTTGTTTTTTCTTAGGTAACAGGAACCAGATCGGGGGGGTGTAGCTCAATCCCATAATTTACCATGGAGATATAGTTTTTATCTGAGAACTAAATTATAGCCATGGCATCTCATATTTTATTTGAGAAAAAAATCCCCACAACACTTGAATACTTTGTTTAAAATGGTTAAACCTGGGAGGTATTAATTAAGTTTATCATGTCTGTAGGGCAAACCATATAAGAAAGAATTGCCCAGGAATTCTTACTAAACTTTATCTGTTAGTTTAGATTTTTAAACATCTTTGAGTAGAGTATTTTCTTTCTAATTTGCCCTGATTTCTTGTCTTGGCATCAGGAATCTTTCCCAGAACATGTGTCCATCTCTGGAGCTTCAAGCCAGCTTGGTGTCCCAAAGCCTCTTAAAGTAATTTTCCCCTGGGTGCTCTTTTAAGGGGCAGAGAATCCTGTATTTAGCTACTCTTTGCTAATAGCAAAGAGAACTTCAGTTGCCCTTTCTTATAACGTAGAATCTCGCACTCTTCTGTTTTTCCTGCACGTAACAAAGAGAAAATAAAAGTTGTGTAGAGAAGACACCTGGTGATTAGTTTCTTGACTCTCAAAATGAGGGTGACATTGCACTTTTTGCCTCTACTTTGGATGGTCCAAGAGCCAGATTGAGCCTGCAGAGCTGTCTGGTTTGCTCTGTACACTATTGGCCTGCATGGTGCTTAAAAGAGACTACTAATCTGTTGCCACATTTCATCAGAAGACAGTTTCTGCTTGTCAACTGAAACATCTGCCAACCCACGACCCACGCTCCTGCTTGGGTCTCATCGGCCCCAGCAGAAGAGCAGCCGCTCCCTCTAGACAGGGCAGCACCCTGCATCCCAGGTCCCCATCCCCTCGCTCTCTCTCCTGACTTCCCAAGACAGCAGCCAGGTGTTGGCTGTCCTTTGTCATCCTGATTGCACCATTGTTCTTCTTAGAGCTAAGAAATAGTTTTATATCTCATATGCTTGTTACAAATAGGAAGTAAAAAACTCAAGTGGACTAGTTTTTAAGATGATGATGCATTTGACTTATTTTTCTTACTTGCTGGGCCCTATAAGCTGTTTGAGTTTACCGACTCAATGGGAAAGGAACCATAGCTACTACCATCTACTGTAATTGGAACCTTCTTCAGGGCCTGCTTTTGGTAATTAACTGATAATGACACAGCAACCAGAAATATTTGTACTTCCCCATAAAAGTTTCCCAAGTGGCTCACTCGGAAGGCCAATATTTTCCGCACAAAGATAAATGTTAAGAAAATATAAATGAGGCATCTCAATGTTGATAGGAAGCTGTTTTGTGGTTACCAGGGGAGAGTTTTGCTTTCAGATTTGTTTTTAATCTTGCCCACGTATCCTCTCACCTTGCATACGTGATTGGCTTCAGCTGAGTCGGTGAATGTCTCCAAACGCAAAGGATAGGCAGGGAATTTAAAGGAATGACATAGACTGTGCTTCAGAGAAAACAGTGGGCATGCCATTTGACCTTAGTGTTCAGAAGACAGTGGGGAAAATGGTGACAGACTGGGGAATGGTTGCTCTGTCTGCAGGCGTGTCCACGCCGCAGCTCTCGGCACTAACTGTGGTGGAAATTCGAGCCCCCGTTCTCCTGGTCTAGTGCTTGGTGCCTGTTCATCACCTCTCCTTTTGAGGGAGGGGCTGTGGTTTCCTCAGTAGTATCTGTAACCAGCTATTTCCTCAGTGTTCCCACAGTGTCCCCTGGGCTCTACCTGTCTCACACCTCTCCTCTTTTTCTCCTGTTTTCCATCAGGTGGCAGCAGACTTCCAAGTCTTCGGGTTTGTCCAGCAGCTTACAGCCTGCGGGTGCCAAAGCTGATGCCCTCAGGGAAGAAATGGAGGAGGCTGCCAACAGAGTGGAGATTTGCAGGGTACCCTCCTCTTTCCTTCTCTCTACTGGGACAGTTGGGGGCCCTAAGGGAGTTCTTTTTGCTCACTGGAGTTCTGTTAAAAACCTCATAGTGATCCTCTGTTTGAACTAAATGCCCCAAGCTTGCCTGCTGGCATCTCCAAAGATCCCATGATGAGCCCTGAGAGTTGGGGCTTTGACGGTGACTAGACAGGGGGACAGCAGTGGGTCATTCTTGTGTTCTGCATGGTAGGCAGAGAGGAAATGACGTTGGTTTCTGCGTGAAGCTTTTGTAAGTCATCTGAGTCCCAAATAATAGAGTCTAGGCCACACAAAACAGTTGAGAATTTAGACAAGAGAGGAGCCTTGACTTACTGTTGATATTTAATTATCGTCTTGTTTGCCTTTTAATATTCCTGAGTCATTTATCAATCATTTGTTTTCTGGGAGACACTTATCTATGAAGTTGAAATGCTAGCCCAGGAGACAGTCACAGAAAAGAAAACTACCCACTTGTTAAGAGAGGAGCACCTTGTTCTAAGAATGTACCTCTGCCTTGGGAATGACAGATATCCTGTGCTGCACTCACTCAAATGTTTACCATCTACTTTCGCCACAAACATTTTACAGGGCTTAATTAGTGATACGCCATTCACGATACTCTGCATATATGTACTTCTGTATACATGCAGATACGTCAGTTTCGTTTAGATCCAAGGAACAAAAATATGTTTCTGGAACTATTCTGGGTACCTGTTGTCTTTTTTTTTTTTAATTTAATTTTTTTATTGAGGTAACATTGGTTTATAACATTAAATAAATTTCAGGTGTACATCATTATATTTCGATTTCTATGTAGACTACATCATGATCACCACCCAAAGACTAATTACCATCTGTCACCGTACACATGTGCCCTATCACCTCTTTCACCCTCTTCTCTCCCCACTTTCCCTCTGGTAACCACCAATCTAATCTCTGTATCTATGTGTGTGTTTGTTATTGTTGTTTTTGTTTTTATCTTCCACTTATAAGTGAAATCATAGGGTATTTGACTTTCTCTGTATGACTTATTTCACTTAGCATAATACCCTCAAGGTCCATCCATATTGTTGCAAATGGCAAGACTTCATCTTTTTTTATGGCTAAGTAGTATCTCATTGTGTATACATACTACATCTTCTTTATCCGTTCATCCTTTGATGGGCATTTAGGTTGTTTCCAAGTCTTGGCTATTGTGAACAGTGCTACAGTGAACATAGGGGTGCAAATATCTTTTCGAATTAGTGTTTTCTTGTTCTTTGCATAAATATCCAGAAGTGGAACTGCTGGATCCTATGGTAGTTCTATTCTTAATTTTTTCAGGAGTCTCCATATGGTCTTCCATTGAGGCTGCACCAGTTTGCATTCCCACCAGCAGTATAGGGGTTTCCCTTTTCTCCACATCCTCTCCAACACTTATTATTTCTTGTCTTGTTAATTATCTCCATTCTGACAGGTGTAAGGTGATATCTCATTGTGGTTTTGATTTGCATTTCCCTAATAATTAGTGATGTTGAACATCTTTTCATATGCCTGTTGGCCATCTGTGTATCTTCTTTGGAAAAATGTCTGTTCAGATCCTTTGCTTATTTTTTAATTGGGTTATTTGTTTTTTTGTTATTTAAGAGGGGTAGCTATTGTCTTAATCCTGCAGTTTTAAAGGAGAATAGCCACTTTGCATGCCGACGTCTCTGTTCTCTGTGGCTCTATCTGGTCTTGTTAGCTTTCCCATTGGCTTATCCTTTTACAGTCACCCTGTGCAGGTGGCTTTGACCTTACAGTCAGGTGACATTCAGTGTCAGATAGAATTTCTGGAATTAGAAACATTGAAAAATCTTTAAAGAATTCATCATCTCTTAGCCTGAAGTACTAGGAACCAAGCAAAGTAAGGCCAGTGCTTCAGATCTAAGATTCTTTGTGAGTAAAACCAGTTTGTCATTTGAACTCCTGTGAAAATGGCAAATGTCGAGCTGGGGCTATTCGTGAAGTATAACTCTTCTCTCATGCAGATTTCACTTTTGCTCTGTTAGTCTATACCCTTTTACCATGGATTTATGTTCTTCAGTTAAGAATCTTGTTTCCTACAAAATTACTTCTTCAATAGACACAGGAGAGTGATGTGAAGAGGGGATGCTGAATGTGAATATCCAAATACATCAGAATAAAAGTTTAATAGCTCCATTTGTTCTTGGTTAGCTTCTTACATTTGCTGTTTTTCCCAAAAAATATATTAAATTCCTCTACCTAGATTATAAAAGTATTACATGTTCACCATAACCAGTGAAAAAATATGAAAATATATCAAGAAAAACGCCAATAATTCTCCCCCTTCCTGCCCAGCAACCGGTCCCTCTGTTTGCAAAGAAGGGACCAGTTTGCCCTCCTCAACAATATTTATTAAGATTTGTTATGAACAGTGCACTCTGTCACATGCCAAGTGGCCATAAAAGTTATACGGACGAGGAAGCCAGTGTTAGAACCTGTTGTACAGCCTTCCACCACTTTCTTCATAATCATACAAGTACACACTCATGTATAGCATTTTCCTTGTTACGTATTGTGTGTGTGTTTATGAAACAGTCATGTTGTTTATATTAATCTACCATTCGCTTTTCTCAGTTAACAGTACATCCTGGACATCTCTCCAGGTTAGTAGCTATAGCTCTAATGTAATCGTTTTAATAAGGTGCATAATACTCCGTAGTAGGGATATGTATACCATGATTTATTTAGCTATTTTTCTAGTGATGGATATTCAAACTAGAGTGTTTTATTTTGTTTTGTCATCAAAAATGATGCAATCAACATCCTTCTATGTATATTCTTATATGCTGGTAATTTTTTTCCCTTTAGGATAGATTCCTAAAAGTGATATTTTTAGGTCAAAGACTATGTGTACATTTTAGATTTTAATAGATGTTGACAATTTACTTCTCTTAAAAGGAAATTGCAATTCACATTCCCACCATCAATATACAAAATTGCACATTTCCCTTCGTCTTTCCCTGTAATGGATGTTGTTCCTCTTCTCAATTTTTGCCCGTCTGGTGAGGGAAAAAAGCTATCTCTATGTTATTGTAATTTTAATTTCTCTGGACATTAGTAGTGATGAGTATATCTTCATGTATTTATTGGACATTCCCAGTTTGGCCAATTGTCTGTTTCAGTTGGCAATTGGACCAGTATCTATATTGTTTTGTTAGTATCAGTTAATGTAAATTCTCTGTATATCAGGGATTTAAACTTTCTTCTATCTGTTGTGCTGCAATACTTTTTCCAGTCTGCCGTTTGTCTTTTGACTTTGTTTATATTGATGTCTGCCATTATTAAAAACTTAATCATATGCCTGTATTTCCTTTGCATGGGAGAAGGTCACAGGTAGTCCATCAGGCATCCTCCACCTCAAGGTTAAAAATTTATTCTTCTTTAATTTTCTTTTAATGTTTTTAATGCATTTTATATACCTTCTTTGTGCGTTTTAATATACCTGAAACTTACTTTTATACATGGTTTGAGGTAGAGATTTATTTTTTTTATTCCCCTCAGATACATAGCCAATTATGCCAGCACCATTTATTAAGTAAGCTACTTCCCCTTGAAGTGAAATCCTCTTATCTAATTCCTCAGATTTATTTCTGGGCTCCATGTTCTTTAATTTGTTTGTCTGTTCCTGGGATAATACTATACAATTTCTATTCTAATGACTTCATAGCGATTATAATATTCAGTAAAACACCTCCACTGTCTTTTATGGTTATCTTGGCTAGTCTATGACCTCTGTTGCATTATATGAACTTTGTGATGATCATATCGAGTTAATAAAACCACACATCGTGCTCTAGCTGGCTTTATTTGTGTGCCGAACTGACCCTCTTGAGAGCACGCACTGATGTTTTTGTTCAAGTTCTCTTCTGACTCTTTTATTTCTACTTCGTTGGTTGCCAGGTGTTCTAAGTATCCACCATGATCTTCCTCTCTCTCCTTTCTGGGTTTCCCTAAATGGATCATTCCCTTTTATATTTTCATAGTTGTGTATTTCCTCAGCAGGCGAGATAAATCTTTAGGATCTCCTGTATTATGGCAACCCAGCAAAATGAAAGCTTTTGGGCTGAAGGAGAATGAAGTGGCCATCTGATTCTTCTTTGTTTAGGCACAGAGAGGACCAAGCAAAGCTCTCTAGATCTTTAGGACCCAGAGAGCTCTAGCCCACCAGGAAAACCAAGTCACGGTGGGTTCCATCAGGCAGAACCTGCCGAGACCTCAGGCATATGGGCAGGGGCAGCATTCCTTGCCTGTGTTGCTTTGGGAGCCCGTCCTATTTCTGACTTGCTTCCATATTTCAAAAAGAAACAAGCCCTACTCTTCACAGCTGGTACCTGCCTGCTTTCTCTTTCCTTCCTGAGGGTGGGTAATTTTTCCATAACAGGAGAGACAGTGAAGAAGGACCCATGAACAGTCAAGTAACAACAGCGAAGACAGTGACTAGAAAACTAATCCACTTGATGACTGCAGTTATCAGTTTCATTTTGTTTTGGTTTTTGTTCAAAGTATAGGGAGACTGGCTGCAGTGCTAGAGTTTTCCCTGGAAGGGGATAGTTTCCACTGGTGCCTTTCCTGCTTGTTTCTCTGCTTGAGATGCCTCTCCCCACATCCCATCACTTATTTTCTTATCCTTAGTCCACCCATGTCGCTGTCTTTCCCACTAAGCCTCAGCTTCTCTCTTGTTAAATGTGTGTCTCTCCTTTTCCATCTTATTCTTCTCTAATGTGTAATCTTGGGTCTTTGAAAATCAAGCTTGAATCCAGGAAGGATGGCAACTGGAAGGCAGATGTCCAGCCCATTTTGTCCTCCTCACAATCAGACTTAAATGAACCTAGATGTCAGGCCAAAAAACAACATTGAGTCTTGACCCACAGGTCCTCTTGTGAGAAAATTAGTTTAGTGTTATGATAAGTCTGTCAATGAGATCCTGGCAGAACC